TTATTTTGCCGTTGCGGCAGCGGCGCGGGAGAGATTTTTATTTTGCCATCGCGGCAGCGGCGCGGCGGCGGCAGCTTTTTAGGAAAAAATTTCAAAAATTCATGAATTTGCAAAGAATCTGCATGTTTATGTATGCTATACTGTAAGACTTAGCGAATCTGATCGATTAGCGGCATCAGTTCTATTTCAAACCAGTCAAAGCCTTGAAAATCAAAACATTTTTTCGACTACCAGCGGGGCAGCGGCGCGGTAGCGACAAGTTTTTTTTTAAGGCGCGTCGCGGTAGCTTTTTTTAACAGGCCATCGCGTCGCGGGAGCGGCGCGGCAGCTTTGTTTGATTTTGGCCGCGGCGCGGCAGAGGCAGATTTTGAGCCGCGATGGACATCTCTGGCAGAGATGTCCATCGCGGCGATGGTTTTCAAAAAAAATGCTTTAATTTTCCAGACTTTGACTGATGCCAACTAGAACTGCTGCTGCTAATCGATCACATTGGTTAAGTCTTACAGTATGGCACACATTAACGTTGAGATTTTGTTTTAATTCATGAATTTTTGAAGTTTCTTCCTTAAAAAAGCTGCCGTCATGGACAACTCTGCTATCGAGTCAAACTTTATAAACTTTTACTATGAAATTTTTCTTCCCGTATAAATTAGCGATAGATTTAAGATTAGTATACTTTCATGAGTTTTATCTTGTTTGAGATTATTGTGAGAGAATAGATTTTTGAATGTCTTTATAAATCTAAGATACTTGAAATAACTGCTAAGATCTTCCTGAGCGAATAGATTCAAAATTGAATGAGAAAATATAACGATTCTGTTAAATTTGTATTATGAAAGAAAAAAAAAATGAACAAAAGATTTTCAAAGTTTCTATAAGTTATATTAAGTTTGATAGTTTTGAAATTTTATCTAGACTCGAGAATTAAATGATTTTCGTACACGTTTTGATGAAAAAACAAAAGAAATTGAAAAACTTTATGCTGGACGACTTGATCAATTACAATTACAAAATGCTGATCTACGGTAGAATCTATTTATTAAGCGATTATATAGAACGATTGTCTTTGTTTTTTTCTTCTTCTTAGAAATATGTATATGAAAAAATGTGCTGAACTAGTCGATGAACGAACATTAACACAACAGAAAATTGATGAACAAGTTAATTTTACACGAAAACAACTTCAACAAGTAAAGATTTTTCTATTATATTGAAATATCTTATAAAAAAAGAATTTTTTTCTTTTCTAAAGAAATTACTTAACATTCGTATAACATCTGCTGTTCCATTAAATACTGATAATCAAACACGTCGTTTAAGTACATATGCTACAGCTTCTCAATATGAATTATCTCCAACACGTTGTCGTTCAGCATTTGCTACTTCTCATCCTGTTTCAGCTACGAATAATAAATTAACCATTGATAGTAATAATACAACAGATTTTACACTTCATAATATTCGTCGTGAAACAAAATTACGTCGTCGTACTAGTGTACCAATAACTGAAGAAGAACAAGATATTGCTCGATATTTAACGTCAACATCAATTATAAAAAGACCTGATTCATTATCTTCGAAATATAATTTTGAAAACGAACCAACAATGATTAAAAATCTTAGCTTAGAAGATCTTCAAGAAACATTTAAGTCATAATAATTTTCTATATAGATTTTGTATTTTTTATCAAAAGAAATGATCTCAATTTCGCATTATTTTAATTAAATGCTCTGTTTTTATATTTGAGTATTACATTTATTTTTACTATTTATAATATACGATAACTAAAACTTTGATAATATTGTTGAAGCGATATGATTACGAAACTTTATGACATATCTTATAGTTGAATTTTACTATGATTTTGTTTTATTTTATTGCATTCTACGAAAATCTTGTCATTCGAAATGACACTACATATGATACTTTACTTTGATATTCTGTTAACTGTATCTAACAATCGTAGTTTCCTAGAGAAAAACACTCACGATTCATTCAAACCAAGCTATCTATTGTCACTTGTGCTTCTAGTTCAAGGTTACGAGCTATTTGTTTCCATACAGCTAGAATTCCTATTACCAACTTGTAAACATTAATGAGATGTTAAGTATTATGTATAGACAATACCGGTTGCTTCATTCAATGCTTATTCAATGAATGGTTGGTACATGTACAGACTTTTATATAGCTTTCTTCTACTCGAATCAATTCAGTAATAAGCTCTTGTCGTTGAGATGCTGCCAAAAGCAGATTTATTTATTGTTTTATACTAGCCTCCAAGTGCTCACTTTGGTATGACTAGTACACTATTCAATTTATTATCTGAACAACATTCTCAAAACTGCACCATTTGTGTTCTACATTAATAATTCAAAATATTCTGAATTGTTATTTTTCTGGAGCTTCGTTAAGGTTGCGTTCATGACGCAAATGAATCACAAAATAATTCAACATTTCTCTATGCTATAGAACAGATAAAGAATGTACCAGGCTCTACAAATACAAACATCCAGCACTGTTACGTTGAGTGTGGGTGTTCTCTCATTCCCACCTTCACTCACTCTCACACCCACATCGTAGTAGACTCTCGTAGGCCGTATCATAATTGGTGATAAGACAAACAGAGCAGTATCAATTTTTTCCAATCAGTTCGACATACTATTGTCTGAACATTTCCTTTTGTTTCCTCTTTACTTTTGCTACGTATTCACATAAAATAATAATTCAGTTCCAATTTTTTCAACATTAACTTTGACCAATACCAAATGAACAAGCGAAATTAAAAATGAAGCATCCCTACATTTGCGAGAGTCAGACAAGATAGCTGATATCGATTACAACAAAATGTACACTTAACTACAATGAAGGCATCAATAAATTTTTATCTTGTTTAAAATATACATAGACGTTGAGAGATTTTTGAAATAGGAAAAGTCAAAATAAGCATGTTTTGTTTGTTATTTACGTAACTTAACCACGTCACCGTCCTCCTCCTCCTCCTGCACTACCTGAATAGCTGAACGAAGGCATTTCTATATTATTAAATAGTTGGCTTCTCAATACTTTCGCCACATCGCCGTTTGAGTCTGGTTGTATGGGAGCGTTGCCGGAGATTTGTTGTTTAAAATCATATTCGGATACCGAGAGTTCTCCAAATGAAGGCAGCGGCAGAATATTTTTGTTGATGAGAGAGCCTTTTTCTTGGGAAACGTCACTGTTCTGGATATTTTTCGGGCTCAGTATGCTGTTTGGAGTCATAAAACGTGTATACTGATTGTGGTGCTCTAATGAAGTGTAGAATGGAGTTATAACGTGACACCTGTTTCTCTTTATGCTTAATTTTTGCACTCGATGGTTGTCGAAATCAAGTAGTAGTAAATTACCATCAGAATCAAGTTGAATTTTTATCGGCTTGAATATTTGATTTTTCTGGTTTTCAGGCAGATCACTTGCGATATCAATAATTTTCGTATTGCTGGGGTTGGTCGTTTGTGTTTGCAGTATTCGACGATGTTTTGTATCTGCAATGAAAATATATGTGTTTCCTGATAGCTTATCGTCAACGACAGTAAAGCCAGACAGATCTTTGATGAAATTTTTCGCGATATGACGAATCAATGAACCATTGGCTGCAAACTGTTTGATGGTGTTCTCGTTGTAGCATGTTGCATAAATGTCACCTGTCAATTCATGTACATGGATATCTGTCGATGCGCATGATTTAATAATGATCTGCCACGATTGCGCACCCCGCGACCATTTCATAACACGACGATTTACAAAATCCGATAGGTAAACATTATACTGCTCGTCAACATAGAGGTCCAAGCAACCAACAAACTGGTTTAGATGATTACCACGACCAAAGGGCCCGATGATCGTCTCCCCATGTGTACTATTGTCAGTCCATTTTTGAATACGACCGTTATTATAGTCTGCCACGTATATATTCTCTTCCTTATCTACGAAGACTGCCGTTGGATAATTCAACTGGTTTGCTTGGTGTCCTATACCGTTACCTCCAGCCACTACGTGACCAACACTAGCACCTTTATCCCATTTGATAATGCGATGATTCAGAGAATCGGCAATATAAATAGCATTTTGGTTATCGATAAATATGCCATGCGGATATGCAAGCTGGTTCAGTGCAGAGCCAACCCCATTTCCTCCGGCCACAGTTACACCCTCATCAAACCAGGCGCATGCTGAATAGATTTTTGTATGTTGCTTTCGAGTATCATTGACTATGCATAAAGTTATAAAGTTTTCTTTTCTGAATAACAACATGACTTTGATTAACAAGGAAATGACAGATGTTAGCGATGAAAAATAACAGCAAAATTTTTTTTTTATCATAGCACAAAAAACTACGACTTAGATAGCTATGATAAAACCAAAAGACCTATGTGTATAAGTCTGCCTGAAACACGCTTGTTCAGCTATGATCTTTTCCATGTTATGATCAGATACATTTATTTTTAATTTTTCTAGTAATAGATGCCTACTGGATAAAGCATAATTTCATTTTAGTAATCACATCTAAGTCTATGTGGAGTATTTTTGACATTTTCACAAGCATACTATCATATGGTACAAATAGCAAACGATGAAAAATTTTGGATTCAGATTGCCTCTGAGCTATAGAGCAGTTGTTGGTATTTTTGTTGTTTATCAGACTTAATGTTACCATTGACTTTCAGATTTCTTGGAGATCCTCTATTTGTCGACTCTTGGATATTGCTAATTCGGATCTTCAGCACTTCACTCATGAATTCAAAAACGAATTTTTCTCGTCGACAAGCGACAACTAAATTTTTCCTCTCCGGGCTGAAATGTCTAGACTTCAGAAACGATATTTAATTTATATATTTTCTAGATTGACAAGTTAAGGAAGTACAGGACAGTAATCAGTCCATAAATGTTTATGTGTATGTTTGAAATACATTTTAAAAATCATGAGCTTGCTCTTGGTGCAATGTGCTGTACTTGTTTCGATTTGCTTTATAAATATATATTACATTAAAGAAAATAATATTTTCCAAAAATTTGCGACAATTTTTCTGTCAATAGTTGAAGTATATCTGAAGCGATCTCAAGAATATTGCTAAATGGGAATCAAGAATAAATCAATTATAAATTCGATTTTGCTTTTAGGTTGTTAGATTTTTCGTGAAATTTTCAATGTTTTCAGTTTTGGTCTGATATTGAGTCTCAAACTTTTTACGATTTTATAAGCTCTGTATATTTTTCTATTCGTAATGAAAATTTTTCCATTGAAAACATGAATTTCAGTTGCTATGGAATTGCCATTGTTGGATTTCAGATGATCTTTCATCCATTGTGATCTGCTTTCAAATGCTAAACTATGAAAAAAAGTTCAATGTTTCTGTCTATGAGAGTTGTTCTAAAATATCATCACTAAGGTAAAGTTCTCATCTTGCGGTTTTCGTAAGAAAGAAATTGTGTCTATCTCTGGTCTTTTCAGACTCAAGTGGAGCACAAGTGTGTACTTATACGAAAGATAGTTAGGAAGTGGTCAATTTGTTTTCTAGGCTTCAAAATAGTAGATAATGTGTGGGGTACTCTGGAATGAAGCTTAGAATAGTTTTTATACAATTCCAGGTTGTATTGCAACTATTGAAATTAATGCTTATAGTGGGCGTTTGAGTTTCAAAGCTGCACGAGAAACATTAGAGCCGTAAAAAATGGTTCAGTATTACGTATTTGGTTCATATTTTAAAGAGCACTGAGGATGTTATAGCCAAAAATACTAGGTGGATACGGAATCTAACAGTGTTAGCTTTTTTTTGAGAACCTGATACTGATTCTAACTAAAATTATAATTTGATGTATGTTGCGGGAAGCAAGCGGGCTTAATGCCTGCTTCCTAAGTTCATAAAACATCTAACGAGGGAACGTGTCCAACTGTCGAAACGCTTTCGAACCAAGAATGAGCTCAGCTTGTAGAGCTCGGTGAACTATGTTTACCCTGAGAAGGGTTCGGGTCTATGGCCTGTTTCCGAGGAGATCGAATATTTTTAGTATTACAGCTGGATATTTTTATGATATCTCAACCACATTGTTTTAAAATGATCTTGAATTTTGACAAAATCTTCAGCGTTTGTAGAGCTTTTAATTTTAAGCGTTTTCATAAAAATAATTTTCGAGACGCGTTTGTTGTGATGGAGACAGACTCAAAACACTTTAGCTGGTAATACCCCAGAAAATCTCAGATCGAGAAGTACGGGCGAATTCCTGCAGGAAAACACCGGAAATCGTCGAAACATAGAAGCAGTATTCCGGTCGAGAATTTTTCGGGACTTTTTCCGGTGGGTTTCAGTCAATTGCTGCTCTTTCCAGCAGGAACTGGTCGGAAATCATCGAAAAAAAATCCGGAAAATTTCTTTCGCGGAATACTGCTTTCATGTTCCGTCGATTTCCGGTGTCTTCCTACAAGATATGGCGATTTTTTTGCATCTTTCCTGCAGTATCCTGAAGCCAGAATCAACGTCCTGGGATCTCAAGAAATTTGTTTTTGAGAATGTTTGAATATTTTTCTCTGAATTTATTTTGAACTTTTCTCCATCAAAACAAAAGCGTTTTGAAAAATTTTCTTTTATGAAAATGCTTACAATTAAAAGCTCTACAAATGC